ACCATGTACTTAAATTTTTTCCTCCCCTTTTATGATAATAAATGGCTCTTTTTTTTTTTTTTTTTTTTTTTTTTTTTTTTTGTTACAATCATTTAAATACACCCATGCTTCATCTATTGTGACAACTGTTTTCCGTTTTTCTTTGGATAAGTGTTTCTCATATAGAATTCTGCAGAGTGTCCTGCGTTGAGCAATATGCTTTGGAAGAAGACGATGCACATTGCGTTTTTTCGCTTTCTTAAGATTTAAATCAACATTTATCATTTTGTTAACAGTGGACACCGAGCATTTTAATGATTTTGCAATTGTCCTTTGACTAGGGGGATTTTCTTTTAACATTAAACAACGTACCTTTGCAATAGTCGAAGATGTCCGTTTTTTCCTTGGATACTTGTTTGGAATTTTTGTCCCACTTGAGGCTCCAATTTGACATTTTTTCCCCCTTTCATGTTGATGATATTACCTATCGATGCTTTAGCTATCACAAAACTATGACTCTCACATCGTTTTTTGATAACGGAGAATGCATATTTCTCTTCGGAAAAAGCATAAATGTAGCCTTTGAACCACTGCTTTGTTAAATTTGCCATTTTGAATAAAAACAAAACTTTCAAGCCACTGACAATAATTTTGACTTTTAAAAACATAGTACAATTGCAATTACTTCTTTTGCAGCAAACGCTTTTTTATTACCGCTTACAAAAATCGTCTAAAAAATGTGCGAACAGCCTCTGTAATGTTACAATAACCATATTCTAGAATTCATGTGGTGTTATCCTGATCTATTTGCTGAAGCATGGCATACTATTACAGCTGATCCTTACAGTATCACTTTGACATGGTTACATGAAGCCATCTTTCACAAATGTGCTGGCACACTGAATGGTGGACATTCTCCTGCATGACAATGCCGTACCACATACTGCTTGCCAAACTCAAGAATTACTGCAGAAGTTCAAGTGGGAAGTCTAAAACCACCTCCCCTATACAGCCTAGATTTGGCACACAACAGCTGCTTCCTTTTTCTGAAACTGAATTATCAAGAACAACTACTTCCTTTTTCTGAAACTGAACTATCAAGAACAATGTTCCTTTTAGACAGTGATGTCAAAAACAGCTGCCGAGAATTGGCTCAATTGGCAGGGAAGTGATATCTACCAAGTTGGTCCTGTGTTCAAATATTTCTCTTAATTGCCTTTTGTACTTGCTTTTCCTTTTTGTAGCTGTCTGTTGTTAAGTAATTTTTTAATTATCCTCTTAATCATTTTTTCTTTTTTCTGGGTTCTCCCTTATATAATGCATATACTTGCTTATTTTTCCCCTTTATATATTCTCAACCCTGGTTTTTGAACATATATTTAGAAATTTAGATTTATAGTAACAATGAAAAAGAAGTGAACAGATAGGACAATCCAGTGTTTAAGAAAAAAAAATATTGTTGAAATTAATAATTAACTTCTTTCAAATACAGAATTCAGTAACGTCAGAATGTATGTATAAATTCAGTAATGTCATATGTGCTTTCTAGTGAGTTATCATTCTACATTCAAGTCTTCCCCTCAGATACGCTACGCACCACCTAAATTTTCCCTTTTGATTTTCATGTGGTGGAATTCATAGAGTAAGAAGGGAAATATGCAAGTAAATACAGTATTTGCAGACACAGTCACACAATTAATGAACCAATCTGTAATGTCTTGCATAAGTAAAGGAACAATTATGTTTAAATTATAACGGTTAACAGAAAGAAGGTAAAAACATGACATTTAGAACAGCTGTGGTTAACATATTAATTTATTATTCATTGCAGTGTTTCTATATTTGGCACACCCCTAAAATTATGCTGTGTTGTTTAGTTAAAATTATAAATGAAGAGTTTTTCTGCAAAATAGTTTACAGTTCTGCATCAAATTGAATTTATTATAGTTCAACCCACACATAAATACAAACTTGACACTTTCTCTCCATTTTGTTAATCAAGATTAACACATACTTCAGCTGGAAGCAAAGACGATGTAAAATTTTTCTTTTGCAATTTATTCAATAATCTGTCTTACTGCATGAAAATTTGCAGTTAATTAGGTGATTCCTGCTTTTAATCAAATTTGCTCAAACATATAGAACAACAATTCTCTTATGGGTGACTTGTTTTCACAGAATAAAAATGAGGTTGCCATACACAAAAAACAAACTTATAAGTTAAAGTGTTATGCACATGTAAAAAAAAAGCTTCCTTGGGTACACAACAATCTTCAAATGGAAAAAATGGTAGCTAATCAACTTGGTATGTAGTCCTATAAATGCTCATTTTGATAGCAGTCTGGTGATCAAACTGATTAATGCATTTGTTGATTGCCAAAAGCTATTTCAGGAAATATATTTTAAAAACTTCTAGAGAGATGTACAGTTTAATTATTAAAGAAATTAATTATCATGCTAAAAATGTAAAAAGATTAATATACCAGTTTTTACAATAATGGGACATTTTCTGACAACTTTTACCTGAAAATGATGTGATATCTATATATTACAATGACTGCTGTATTTGTAAATGAGATAAGGTTCACTAAAATAGTCTAAGACCAAGAAGTGCAACAAACAGCATTGTTAAATCGAATGATTTTCAAACTTTTGTATGATCAGTTCTTATCATGAGGAATTATGCTACTCAGAAATCAGATTGTATTATTTTGAATTGCCCAATGCTTTTCTGTTAATTAGTCCTACTCTCAAAATATGTATTTTTTGGTTTAGTTTAGGTTTGGTTTAATAGATTACAGCAAAGTACTCGAGGGCTATCTGCCTTAAGGGAGGGATGCCTTCGTGAAGGACTTTTTAAGGGAAACTGGTTCGTATACACGTCACACATGGGGAAAACCACGAAAACACCCATGCAGCCAGCCCGTTCGCGGGATTCCAACCTCGGACCGAACTACCAGTGTTCAGCGACGTTACCGCTCGGCCACTGGTGGGCCTCAAAATATGTAAAAATTTCTCTCAGTTTACATAATTACCCTTATTGTTCATTATATTTCATGTTAACATTTTAATTTAACAATATAAAAGAAAAACTACATCTTATTTAAGTAAATATCCTGCAACAAAAGAATTGCAAAATGAAACAATTTGTCACAAATACATACCTGAATAAGTAAAAATTGTATCAAATGATGCTATTGCTATTAAAAAATGTCAAAAATAATCTCTGTAATTACTTGACACTATTGATTGACCTAACATTAAACTTCCTCTTAATGCTGCCACACACATTCAAAATATACGCTAAAAGCAAGCAAATCATTTAGATTTCAACTGAAATGAAACATCTCTCACTTCCAAGAAACTTCTTCAACACATTAGAAATACATATCTGCACTAACATAAGATGCATTTCACAAAGTAACAATGTATATATCTAATGGAATTTTATTCTATTTAAAATGCAACACAATGTCTAACTAGCTTGTAATTTACACCATACATAGACCTCAACAAGACACAAAAATTATTAACACTGCAAGGAATATACAAATCATGTACCAGTAATGCCTCACAGTAGCACTAAGGAAAACAGCAAGCTGTTTTGCACCGGAATTGTGCCTTTCTGATATTTCTTTGCTTGGAAAGCTTCAGTAAGCCTTTCAGAAAAAAGGTAGATTTCTGAGTTTCAGAAAGAAGAAACTGTGGCTTAAAGAGATTGCAAATTATGATGAGAAACTGGTGCTTATGTTGGATGAAATCACAATACAAATACTTGATTGTCGAATCAGTGGTTACGATAGGTTATTCCAATATAACAAAGCACATAAAGGTTATCTGTCTAAAGGAAGAGTTTTTTAGTAGAAGACTTTCTATGGGAAACTAAGTCGTATTCACATTACACATGAGAAAACCATGAAAACCAACCATGCAGCTATCCCGTTTGCTTGGGATCAAACTCTCTCAGCCACTGGTGGGTGATGGAACCAGTGGGTCAAAAGAGACAGACTAAAAAATTGCACCAGCCTCATCATACCACATAACAAATGAACAGGCATGCTATCTCCAAGGCACTGATAGATAGATCATTCTGCTCCATTAAGAATGCTAGAAGAACAGTCTGTTACATAACTAACTGCTTGCATCTTTATGTATTATTGGATGGTGGCACATCCGCCTTTTTAATTCTCAATTCTGTCCAAAATACTATAATGGCCATATCTGAGACTGATAACATGACCCTTGTATTATTCACCACAGTACAGTCCATTACTCTAAGTTATGGCTTGGGGTTCTGTTGGATTTTACTCCAATGTCCATCTATGCATTGTTAGCACACTGAACAGTCACCATTACATGTTCGAAGTTTTGGAGTCTGTTGTCCTCCCTTACTTTGAAGGTTTCTTATGGCCAACTTTAAACAGGATAATGTCCAACAGCAGATGGCAGATGACTATCAATAATTCTTCACTGCTAACAAGCCAGACTACTGCCCTGACTGATCCATTCTGCCGATATGTTGCCCATTGGACGCATCTGGTAGCTGACTGGCAAATGAGTGGCAAAGCAAACACCACCCTTGGTCACGTCAGATGAACTTTGGCAATGCACTGAAATGGTATAGTACATACCCAAGTACATACCAAAAACCTTTCTCCCACAATACCAAGACATATTTTGGCAGTTATTCGTCAGCTTGACAGCTACACAAAATACTGATTTCTTAAAGTCCTGCAAGTTGAATGCACTCCAATTTTAATCAATTCAATTTTATACTATAAATTATCTGGTCCAGTAAATACTGACAGTCCGATATCTGCAGCTCTTTATAGTATTGGATTCTGGATGGCCCATAGAGTCTATCAAATGCAGAAATGTTTTGCACTTTATTCCTTAATGATGATATACCAAAATAACCCTTGTAACATATAATTAAGCAGACCAATACTAAATCGATTTAACACTTTTTCACACAGAATTCATATACTTAAAATGCTTAGAAAACTACAAAAGAAACATACTTAGCTCCAGTAAATCGTGCCAAAGCATGGTCTAGAGCCTGTCGAAGTGAGGTCAGAGCTTTCTGAGAAAGTGGTATATTTATATGAACTCTTATTCTGTAAATAATATATGAAGTTACAGCTGCCCAGAAGCTGGCTGAGTCTTCCAACAAGCAAAGCTGTCCAAAAGGCAATGCTGACTGAAGATCAACAAGAATATTCTCAACTACTGTTCCAGGAAAATCACATGGAAGTCTACCGTTTGGTATCATGGATGTATGCTTCAAAAGGGGGGGAATTAAAATATGGTTAAAAATAACTTATTGCAAAAACAAGATACTTTTAAGTACATATGAGGAAAATAGGGTAAAAAAATAATAATCAACAAGCAAAAAACAATGCCACTAGAAAAAAATAATTTTTATACATTATTCTATCCATAAAGAAATTTAAAAAAAAAATACTTAACATTACGTATATTTTTCATCCAGAAATAGCACACATAAAACTTTTCTGAAAAGTGATATCTCACAATGTTATGATGGTGCCAATCAGCATCAGTAGAAAAGAATTCCTATTTTTCCAGAAGTAGTTTTTAAACACATTTCTGGTGTTTAGTGACCTGAGGCCAAGAGAGTATCTACCTACAGAATATCATACTGCATAACTTGACTGACTTAATTAGCCAGGCCATCTTGTCATTTTTTCTCCACTGTACAGGTTTTTTTTTAGTACAACTCAGTGTAGATACACATTACATACATTAAGATCCACAGTATCCTCAAAATACTGATTTTTTTTTTTTTCTCACTCACTACATATCGAATGAGAGCTGACACATAACTTTTGCAGTAAGTTTTTTCTGCTAAATATTATTAGAATAATAATGTGTATTTTACTTTCTGCAAGTCAAACTGCCAAAAATAGTTATGTGTGCAATTATTCAACAAACCTATGAAGAAATTCCATAGATCTTCTGTTTTCATACTTACACACTCAAAGTCATATTTTTCCATAAGATGCAAGATGAGATTTATGAAACATTACCCACCTAAAATATAATACAGTCAAAAGTTTTTAATTCGGACACCCATAATCCGAACCTCAAAGCTACAAACTTTCTGCGCATGTGTCGCGTTTACGCATGCGCATAAGACCTTTACGGCGGCGAATATGCGTGTGCGCATGCGCATAATACGTTTATGCATGCGCGTTTAATGTATAACGGACGGTATAAGATAAGCTAAAATTATCTAATTCAGTTAATGTTGCAGATTGCGTTGTTCCTTAATCTTCGAATTGGATCCGGCTTATTATTTTTTGCAGACTGTTAGAGCAATTTTATAAAAGTAAGCTTGAACTTTCGATTATGTCAAATAGAATTTCCAATATATATTTACTAATATGTAAAGGATCTACAAAGCGAAAGTATGTTTCGAAGTCCATTAAACAAAAAGTGGAATTGCTGTAAAAAATGGATAAAGGCATATCCTTTGTTTCTTAACCATTCTCAAATCTGTTTATCAATTTCACGCTGCTCTGCGGGGGGGGGGGGGGCATTGCGGCACGCAATGAACTGAAAGTTGATCTGTCAGCACTATCCTTATCTTCAGAGCAGATATTTTTATTTTATTCAGCTTATAATTCCTTTCTAAATGTAGTAGTTCATCTCGATGTATTCCATCTTTGATATGATTTAAATCAAATTCCTCGTCATTATAAATATCACGAGTACACATCAAATAGTTTTCTGGTTGCAATTTTCTAATTTCAACTATGCGTAATGTATGCTTTACGCATGCGCTTGTTGAAATAAATGTTTAATAAAGTAAACAAATAAATATTAAGCTTTTTTTTTGTAAGTTTTGATACCCTTTAGATCATAATTACTCTTTATTTCATAAATTATGGTTTCATATTTTTAATTTTGTAATTTCTGCATGCCATCTTACCAGATTTAAACTGATGACCTATAATCCGGAATCGCCGAAGTCCTGACAAGTCCGGATTAACGACTTTTCACTGTATTACAGCATTAAGCTTTTTTAAGTCAGCTAAAGGTAAAACAAAATTCAGTCAAAATAAATATTCAGGTCTTTCATGCAATTAACTGCAGATTTCCGTTTAGCACAGAAATCAACACTGGGCCATCCTTGGCTAACATTTCAGACATGCTCATGCAAAGAAACAGTTTTACAGTCTATAAAAAACAGACTCGCATTCACTCAGCGAACTAATGTCTAACTGCCCAATACAATTCATCTGGCATTTGTCCAGGAACTTGCAAATTAGTTATTTTAAACATCTATATCCACCTATAATGCAAGAAATAAAAGATGATTTTCTCCAAAATACCTTTAAAATCCTACTACTTAGTTACACAAACTGATACAACTCAGACCATCTGCCATACAATATGTTAACTTTATTAGTTACATGACCATGCTTGGGCAAGTACTATTTTAAGTAAAGTTATTATAAATTTTTGATTTAAATCAAATGATGCTGCTGGTTCAGACTGCTGCACAGTTTAACAAAAATAACTTTTGAGGTTAAATGTTTTATTATAGTTAATTATCCATAATTGTACTACGAGATCATCTGAGAGAAGTCACTTTCAAGCTTCTCATGAAGAAATTGAAATTACAATCAAATTTTTATTTGTATGCTCTAACAAACATTCAGTTCATAATTAAGCAATAATTAAGCATCATAAGCTGGTACATAAATATTCAAAACAAATCAGATTTTCTGTAGAAAAGTTCTGTACAATAGTAACTGCATAGCAGAAAGGCAAACACTCAGTAGTATTCAGTTGAAGGTATAAAATTCTACTTAAAAAAAAAAAATAAATAAAAATAAATAAAAATAAAAAAATTATGGAGAATAAATTTCATGATAACTATTTTTCTAAGCTACAAACCTCTATATTTTCCCAAACAGAATCACTCTGAAGGGATTCATATGAACATGCATGTGTACTTGTTAGTGTATCTTCAAAGGTGGCACTCTGATGTTTAGATTTCTTTCTGATGGCTCCTGTTGAAGCAGATTGTGAAGTGGCATGCTTACTAAGAGGTGTTATAGCAGCAGTTGGTAGATTCTATGGAGGAAAGAAGCATTATATGTATACATATATACAAAAAGAAACATAACAATAGGCTAAAATTAAAACCAAAATCTTTTAAACCTGTTCTATGCTATAGGATTGAAATAAAGCTTCTAAAGTCAATATTAAATTGGAATCAAAGCAATTTCTCAACAATATTAATAATCATAACCATGTATAAGATGTTTAACACTATATATAAACAAAGCAAAATTAAAATAAGATTTCACGGTAGAACAAACTCGAAAAATAAAAATGCAAAAGGGAAAACATACAAAACCGTAAAAATATACAAATTATAAAATTAATCTCCCTTAACTGAAACTCCAATTCAGAACTTATCAGGGGAAAATGAATTAAAGCTTTAGAAAATTTGATTAATAAGTTTTGAAAACATGTTTTGTTCTCCTGGTTCATTTGAGATCAAAAACAGAAAAAAGATTCAATTAAATTTTCAATTGAAACATTAAAATTCATGTAAAACCATAAATCGAATCTCAAATGTACCAGAATATTCCCTACACGCTTTCCAAACACTTGGAAAAAGGAATCACACATAACATTGTGGCAAACTGAGTACTCAAAAAAAAAAAAAAAAAAAAAAAAAAAAAAAAAAAAAAAAAACAAAAAAAAAAAAAAAAAAAAGAAAAAAAAAAAAAAAAAAAAAAAAAAAAAGAAAAAAAAAAAAAAAAAAAAAAAAAAAAAAAAAAAAGAGTAACTTTATGCAAATTGACCATTCAAAAAAAAACAAACTGGTTTAAACCATTAGATGAAAAATTGAAATTCAAAAGCCAATACAAATAAAGAGCAAAACAAATATAAACACATTGTCAGTTAAATAAACAACACTTAAAAAGTAAGTGGCCCTGATTATGCTAAACTTTTAATACGATGAAAACAAAAAATGTTTCTTAGAGATTTCTATAAATAATAAAATCTAATCTGAGCCTTAAACAGCAAAAAACTGAAAAACCTATTTAAAACAAAACTTTAATAAATAAATAAATAAATAAAAGCAAACTTGCTGAACTCTTACGAGGACCTTCTGAAGAATTCAATTTAGTCAGGAACACAGTTTGGATGTTTTATTAATTTATTTATTATCAGTTATTATAGCTAATTTTTGTTTCAAATAGGTTTTTCAGTTTTTGGCTGTTTAAGGTTCAGATAAGATTTTTACAGAAATGTCTATGAAAAGTTTTTTGTTTTCATGGTATTAAAAGTTTAGTTTAGCATAATAGGTAGTATTAGCCCATTTTTTGAGTGTTGTTTAAATGGCAATTTGGTTTAATGTATATTTGTTTTGCTGTTTATTTGTAATTGCTTTTGAATTTCAATTTTGCATATAATGGTTTAATCCAATTTGTTTTTTAGAATGGTCAATTTGCATAAGTTTCAAGATATTTTTCGTAAGCAATTTGGCACAAAAAAGTTAAAGCTTTAGAAAATTTGATTAATAAGTTTTGAAAACATGTTTTGTTAAATGAAAACATGTTTTGTTTTTGCACAATGTTATGTTTTATTCCTTTTTCCAAATGTTTGGAAAGCATGTAAGGAAAATTCTAGTACATTTGAGATTCAATGTTATGGTTTTACATGAATTTTAGTCTCTCAATTGATAATTTAATCGAATCTTTTTTCGGTTTTTGATCTCACATGAACCAGGAGAATAAAACCTGTTTTCAAAACGTATTAATCTACTTTCCTGAAGCTTTAATTTATTTTCCCCTGATGAGTTCTCAATTAGAGTTTCAGCAAAGGGAGATTCATTTTATAATTTGCATATTTTTGCAATTTTTTATTGTTGGCTACGCCGCTGATTCCCCTAGTGCATGCACATGATAAGCAAGTTCTCTGCTGCGTAATACTTTTCTATGCAGTTAGCCAACGTTCGATGGTGAGTATCGCATGTAAGCGAGAAGTGCTAAGTGCATGTTTCTACTCTGTTGTTCACCGTCTTCATAGCTTAAATAAATGTTTGTCATTTATATGGAAGATATCATTTTATTCTTCATTGGTTATGGGCCCAGACAGTGCTTAACTGTGCAGCCCAACCACCATTGTTAAATTCTTTTGGCAAGCCCAAGCTGCGTCAACTGAAATGAAAATGACAACAAATACAGTGTCAATTGAAAAACTAAACAAGGACAACTTTGACACGTGGAAGTTACAAGTAGAAGGAATACTGATTAAAAATGATCATTGGGACTATGTAACTGGGAAAATTCCAAAACCGGAACCTAGTGATGAAGGATTTGCTAAATGGAAAACTACTGACCAAAAAGCACGAGCTGATATAATCCTTTCCATCTCACCCAGTGAACTTCCACAAGTAAAGAATTGTGTAACATCTCATGAACTATGGAGTAAATTGCATTCTATTTACTAATCAAAAGGACCAACTAGAAAGACCACAATTCTAAAAAATTGCTTTTTACAAAAATGAGTGAATTCGAAACAAACAACTACTGATCTACAGGTTTTTTCATTCTTGTGGACAAACTGAAAGAAATGGAAATAAACATTGCGGATGATTTGCTTAGAATATTGCTTTTATATAGCATATCAGACTCTTATGAAAGCTTTCGAATAGCTATCGAATCTTGTCATGAACCGCCTTCTCCAGAAATGCTGAAAATTAAACTGTTGGAAGAAGCTAGCACTCGCAAAAATAAAGATTAATCATTTTCTGAACCACAACATGTGTTCTATTCAAAAGATCAGAAGTATACTCAACGATCAGTTTCTAAACCGAAACCAGATAAGTCTGCAAACCGAAGACAGTATCCAGTTAACTACAGATGCAACTTCTGCCATATCTATGGGCATAGAGCATCGGAATGAAGGATAAAGAAAAGAAACTAAAAGCAAATGCGTTAGTGAAACTGTGATGTCTGCAGAAAATCAGAATTCTTTGGAGCAAGAAAAAGCCTTATCATGCACAAATAGTAATTCTAAAGACATTTTTTTGTCTGGATAGTGGTGCAACATCACATATGTGTAACAGCAAAGAACTGTTCCAAGAAATTCACGAGGTAGGTGATACTTATGTTAAATTAGCTGCTGATAAAATAGTTAAAGCTATCAGAAAAGGAACTGTTAAAGTTCGTATAGGTTCTAACACTGAAAATATAGAACTCAAAAATAATTTAATCTCAGTGTCTAAAGTAGCTGCAAATAATCTTTCAGTAATTTTCAAAGAAAAATACACTCAAATAATTAATTCCATTAACGAAACAGTAATTTTAGTTAAATGCGAAAATGATCTTTATTTTGTCATGCCAATATTTGAATCTGTATCAATTGCTAAAGAAATAGATCAGTGGCATATAAGATTTGGCCATTTAAATGAAAATGATCTTAAAAACTTCAGTTAAATAACATGCTTAGAGGTCTTTCTTTTTCTCAAAATGACTCTCTTTCTACTTGTAAGGTATGCATTCAGGGTAAACAAACCGCAACCCCCCCCTTCCCAAAGAATCTGAATATAGAAGTACTGAATTGTTAAATCTAATTCTGATTTGTGTGGTCCCATGAGAACCAAATCAATAGGTGGATCATTTTATTTCGCAACATTTATTGGTGATAAACCTCGATATGTTGGTGTTTATTTTCTGAAATCTAAGGATGAGGTTAAAGAAGCTTTCAGAAATTTTAAAGCATCTTTTGAAAATAAACTTAACTCTAAAATCAGAATACTGCAAACCGACAATGGGCTAGAATATTTAGGGAAAGACTTTATTAAATTTCTTAATGACGTGGGAATAAAACACGAAATGAGCATTCCTTACATGCCAACCCAGAATGGCGTCACCGAAAGATTAAATCGCACTTTAGTTTCAATGGTGCGATGTTTGTTATTTCAATTCAATCTGCCTCAGAAATTCTGGGCTGAAGCCATCAATACGGCTGCTTACGTTTGAAACATGAGGTTTAAAAGCGAAACAAAAACACCTCATGAAGTGATGTTTGGCAGAGTACCAGCTGTCTCTCACTTCAGAACCTTTCGCCAAAAAACATTTCCACTTAATAAAAGGCCAGGAATAAGGAAATTTGATATTCGATCTAAAGAATGTATTTTTATTGGCTATTCTGATGAATTAGAAGCGTACAGACTTTGGTATCCCGAGGCGCGTAAAGCGATCAGAGACTTAAAATTTATTAATGAGTTTGAAAACTGTAGTTATGACTCGGAGCAAGAAATATATCTGCCTTTCGCTCCGGATGAAAAAATTATCAATAAAGCATGTTGTGATAAATCATCACCTCTAGACAGCAGCGAGTCGCCACTTGACTTTGAAAAGGAAAGCGTAAGTGATTTAGATAGTGAATCAATGCCTCCTATCCTGATTAAAAGGAGGCCTGGTCGACCCAAGAAAATAAAAACAGGTTTGCCAGGAAGGCCTAAATGGAATATCACTATACAGTTGTAAATAAAATTGAACAAACTCAAAATGTTGTTGAGGAAATCATTAATCCTATGGTTCAAGAAGCATTAAATGGAGCATATGCCGAAAATTGGCATAATGCCATGCTGTTAGAATATAACTCGCTTGTTCAAGAAAAGGCTTGGGAATTAGTAAAGAGACCTGAAAACAAGAAAGTTATTGGTAGTAAATGGGTTCTTAAACTATAACCATAGACTCCAACCTTCAGCAAACCTTGTCAGTAGTCAACGCGCGAACGACATTTTTACAACTTTGAAAATGTGTGCGTAGCGTATGTTGTAATTAACCATTCATTAATTTTAAATTAATAATTAATTGTAATCAATTTTATTACATTTAAAATCCATACACATATAAAACTGAATAATTAAAAATATACCTTGTAAATTATATGCACATTTAATTAGAAAAATTTTTTTAACTCCTCAAGCATTCACTAATAAAAAGTACTTCAAATCACTACTAATCATAGAAAAAATCAGAAGCTATAAATCATATCTTTATTCTGGATATGATTTCTACAGGGAAAAATAAATTTAAATAACC